TCAGCCAAAGCAACCAACAAGGAAGGCATAGACGGTTCTAGGAAAGCATAAATAATTATAGTCTCATGGATTTGAGATGTACTGGCCCTAAATTCACCTGGTCAAACAATAGAAGAGGTATGACAAACACCATGGAAAGGTTGGACAGAGCTCTTTGCAATGTAGAATGGAGAACTGCCTTCTCTGAAGGTGTAATTCGAAACCTCCCTCGTACCTACTCTTATCATTCGACTTTCATTGTCTATGTTGAAGGTATATCCAAACTTCCTTTTTAACTGCCCTTTTCATTTTGAGGCCGCTTGGCTATCACACCCTACTTATGTTGATATTGTGAATGCTTCTTGGAACACTGCCAGTTCTTTGAACTCCAATCTCAATCTTGTTGCCGAAAACTCCCTTGTTTGGAACAAGAAAGTCTTTGGTAAAATCTTTAAAAGGAAACAGTGGCTCCTTGCTCGCATTGAGGGAATCCAAAAAGCTTAATAAAATTCTTTTTCCCATAATTTTTTCTTTCTTGAAAAAGATTTGGTTTCACAATTTAATAAAACTCTTTTTCAATAGGAACTTTTGTGGTTTGAAAAATCTAGGGCAAATTGGATCACTCAAGGTAAAAGAAACACAAATGTTTTCCATGTTTCTACTATTACTAGAAAAAGAAAATTAAAAATTGACTCTTTGAAAAATGAGTAAGGAGTCTGGCTGCATGACCCTAATATTGTGAATGAGCATATTCAAAACTATTTTATAACCTTGTTTAAAGCTAATGCTACTGAGGTTCTTGATCATTGATGTAATCTTGCACACCATAAAATTTCTATTGATGATAATAATGTGCTTCAAAGAAATATAACTCATGCTAAAATTCTGGAGGCAGTGAAAAACATTGGTACCTTCAAAGCTCCTGGCAGAGATGGTTTTCAGGCTATATTTTATCACGAGTTCTGGAATGTCATTGGGGATAATGTGTGTCATTTTATTTGGCATTGCTACCATGAGAAATCCATTCCCTTAGAGATTAACAAAACCCTTATTGCTCTTATACCTAAAATTGATAACCTTGAAAATATAAAGCTATTTCACCCTATAAGCTTCTGTAATGTTCCCTACAAAATCCTCCCCAAAATTCTTGTGAATCGTTTATGACCCCTTCTAGATAACTTGATCATCCCTAACCAAAGTAGATTCATCCCTGGTCACTCTACTCATGACAACATCATTATCACCTAAGAATTAATCCATACATTGTGTAATAGAAGCATAAAAATGGGGGTTTAATCATTAAGCTTGATTTGGAAAAAGCATATGGTAGAATTTCTGGGAACTTTATCAGAGAAAGCTTGACTGAATTCAATCTTAACACCCATTGGGTGGATCTCATCATGAGCTGTGTTTCTAATGTTAATTTCTTTATTTTGTGGAATGGGGAACTTATGCAAGATTTCTCTCCTGGAAGAGGTCTCAGACAGGGAGATCATTTTTCACCTTGTTTGTTTGTTTTATATATGGAAAGGCTCTCAAATATGAATAAAGATAAAGTTGAGAACAAAGAATGGAAAGAAATCAAAGCCTCTAGGAACAGCCATCTGTTTCTCAGTTTTGTGTGTGTGTGTGTGTGTGTGTGTGTGCAGATGATCTACTTCTGCTTTCCAAAGATGATCAAGAGAATTGTGAGACTCTTATGGAAACCATGGAAGAATTCTATGCTATCTCAGGCTAAAAAATTAATCTCCTTAAATCCAAAATGTTCATTTCCCCTAATGTGGACAGGAATAAAGCCTCTGCCCTTAGTCTATTTTGTGGTATTTCGTTGACTCAAGACCTAGGAAAATATCTTGGAGTGCCTCTTATTCACAATCGGGTTAGTAGAAACCTTTATAGTAATGTTGTGGATATAGTTTAAAAAAAAATTGCTTGGAAAGCCAGAACTTTATCACTTGTTGGGAGAGCTACTGTAATCTAGTCAGTATCTTCATCTATCCCCTTTTACCTTATGCAAACTTCAAAATTACCTCAAAGTGTGTGCGGGAATATTGACAAGATACACAGAAGCTTCTTGTGGGGTGAACAAAAGAACAAGAGATCCATTCATTCGGTGAATTGGAATCAAGTATGCCGAAGTAAAAAAGAAAGTGGGTTTGGGTAAAGGAAAGCTGAAAATCAAAACCTGACCCTCTTGACTAAGCTAGGTCGGAAGATCAATTGTGATAAAAATCTTACTTTGTGCAAAATTCTTAGAGGGAAGTATTTAAACAGAAACACTTTTTCTAGCTGGCCCACCCATAAAAAAGCCTCTCAGACTTGGAAAAGCATTATGAAAACTAGAGATATTCTCAGTAAAGGCCAGAAGTGGAGAATTGGTGATGGAAAACACATCTCTTTTTGGAATGATTGGTGGTGTGGAGAATGCACCCTTGAAACCAGGTTTCCAGGACCTCATACTAAAGAAGAGGTATCAGTGGAAGACATAATAGATGAGGATGGTAGGTGGAATCTGGAAAGTGTAGAAGTCATTATCTCTGTAACAACCCTCATACTGTTTACTGATTAAGGACTGATTGATTACCGATAATCACCGATTACTGCTAAACGGAACTGATAACTGACTGATAATCGAACTGAATGAAATACTGAACTGACTGACTGAAATTGAAACTGAATTGACTGAGTATATGTTAGTTAATTGCATTCTATCTGTTTGATTGTCTGATTATCTGTTCATGTTTATATGTTTAAACTGCTAATTGAAGGCCTTATCGGCGGCCGAATCTGAAACCGATTAGTGTTTTGTGACCCTCGTAATTTATGTGATTTTATAGTATAATTATCTGAAAATTGATTAGGTATGATTAAATTAGATTAAAATAAGCCAATTAAAGAGTTTGCCATATTTACCATTTTGCCACTATCTCATATACACACACTTGAGCCTTATACTTGAATCAAAACACAATTGCTCAGCCATTTTCTTGTGCTTAACCGACCAAGAGAGGGAGAGGGAGAGAAATTGAGTTCTACCTTGAAAATTGCTTGAAATTGTTTGAGAATTGCGGTCTACGCAATCAAGACATGCGGTCTACGCAAGTAATGAAATTGAACATGCGGTCTACGCAATCAATACATGCGGTCTACGCAGTCAAAACATGCGGTCTACGCAGGTAATGAAAATGATAATAATTAAACATGCGGTCTACGCAAGCAATACATGCGGTCTACGCAGGTAATGGATGTAAACATGCGGTCTACGCAATCAAAACATGCGGTCTACGCAGGTATTGAAATTAAACATGCGGTCTACGCAAGCAATACATGCGGTCTACGCAGGGAAAGAACTGACATGCGGTCTACGCAAACAAAGAATTAACATGCGGTCTACGCAAGTAAAGAATTGAGATGCGGTCTACGCATAAAAACATGCGGTCTACGCAGGTATTGAGATGATTACAAACATGCGGTCTACGCAGGGAAAGAACTGACATGCGGTCTACGCAAACAAAGAATTAACATGCGGTCTACGCAAGTAAAGAATTGAGATGCGGTCTACGCAATAAAAACATGCGGTCTACGCAGGTATTGAGATGATTACAAACATGCGGTCTACGCAGGTAGTGTAATTAACATGCATGACAATGCAAAATGCAATGAGATGCGCAAAACAGCGCGACGGAATGCAATGCACTAAACAGTGCGACGATTTGAAATGCACAAAACAGTGCGATGGTTTGAAATGCACAAAACAGTGCAATGCGCAGAACAGCGCGAAATTGACACATGCAAGATGCAAGCGAGGCGCACAAAACAGTGCGATGCGCAAAACAGTGCGAAATAATTTTGAAATGCACAAAACAGTGCCATGCGCAGAACAGCGCGAGGTTTGAAATGCACAAAACAGTGCGATGCGCAGAACAGCGCGAACAATTTCGAAACGCACAAAACAGTGCAATGCGCAGAACAGCGCGAGGTTTGAAATGCACAAAGCAGTGCGATGCGCGAGTGCGACACGTATGCCATACGGAATGTAAATGGGCTTAACTGCGCAACAATGCACGTATTTCGGAATGCATGACAATGCATGGAATGGAAATGCAATGATGATGCATGAGAAATGTGCACGACAATGCAACGGGGTGCGTGTTGCAACGCATGTAACACGTGCATAACAATGCAAATGTGTGGCGCACGACAGTGCGATGTAATGCGCAGAAGTAGTGTGATGAACTTGTGCAACACACATGGGGCAACTTTTGAATTCAAAAGGATACAAAAAGGATACACCTTGCACGAATTTGAGTGCCACGCACTGGAGACACGGCCCGCGGTCAAAACGGAGGCCGGTTGAACATCGGAGATGCACTTTCTTGCACTTTCTTGAGCTATGAAGACCACAAACTTCTCATATGGCCTAAACAAGGCTGTGGGAACCCCACCGGCCGAAAGGGGAGGCCACCGGCTGGCCATCAGCACAAAAACAATTCCATCGGCACAAAAAAGTGCCGGCCGGCACAAAACATTGCCGACAGGCAAACAGTTGCTGGTGCGGGGCAGTTTTGTCTTTTCACCTTGGGTGTTATAAAATAGGGCTTCAAGCCCTATTTTCTCATTCTCTCCACGCCGAAAACCCCCATACTCTCTCTCTAGAGCTTTTTCCTCTCCTTTTTCGTCCATTTCTTCGCGTTCTACGCCCGTTTCGTCGTCGGATTCGCGTTTCTCTTCGCGTTTCGGACATTTTCCACCGATCACATTCTCGTTTCGGTGCCTCGTTCGGCGTTCTCGCCTTTTCGGGGTTCGTTCCCTCCACTTTCCTCTTCATTTCCATGCCCTTTCATTCATGGCGGACGACATTCCACGTGTCGGGACTCCCCCGGACCACGAGATGGATCCCGGGGTCGAGGTCTTACCACTGAGCGAGCGCCCGTTCGACCCGGCGACCTACCGGCCGGCGATTCACGTTCTGCCCCCAGACGGCCTGCGTCAGTTCCGGAGCTTTGAGAGGCATGTGGCGCCTGAGCTACTGCTGCGTGAGCCTACCTCCCACCTTTCATTCGGCACTCCCGAGGTAACTCTTCATCTTCTGCTTTACTTTCTGCAATGTAGGATACAAAACTGCCATAGTTAGCTGTATTCTTTAATTGCTGAAATCTGATATGCCGTAGACCGTAGTTGACTGTAAACATACATACAACTGATATCTGCTTGAGACTGACACATGCACACACACTGCACTAGCCCCGAATCATTCAAACACACGGCACACTGTATTCCACTGCATACACTGACATCCAGTATTTGTCTGAATCTGTCAAACTTGCACATATGCTACATCTGTTCTGAAACACTCAAACATGCTGACACAGCACACGTGTTTCACTGTAAGCACACCGGCACCCGGTATTTGCCCGAATCTGACAAACTTGCATACATGCCATATCTGTTCTTTTCAAAACTGCATGTTGAATGTTGTCTTGCAATTGTCAATTTTCTGTTTGCAGGAGGGTTCCCATACCATTCGCGGGTATGGGAATACTGGTGCGCGGGAGTGGTATGATGAGCTCCCTGATGCGGTCCAGCGCATCGTGGACCGAGCGGGCTTCGGCACCTTCTGCCGAGGGCTCTCTAGGCTCTCCACATGCAGACCTCTTCTTGCCGCTTTGGCAGAGAGGTGGTGGGACGCCACCGATTCTTTCCATTTTTCTGCTGCAGGGGACATGACGATGACCCCTTATGACTTCTCGATGCTCACAGGCATCGGGGTAGGGGGGAATCTGATCCCTTTCGACACCGACATGGATGAGTGGACCGCTGCTCAGGTCCATTTACTGGGGGAGGCCCCACCGCTAGCTCGTCCAGGCTTCGTGCGGTACTCCTGGTTCGAGACACAATTTCGGGTCCAGCCCGCATTGGGGGAGGAGGCGCAGATGACCCCGGAGGACGAGGAGAGGTATGCTCGTGGCTTCCTCATGTTCCTGTTCGGGACTACCATCTTCGCCGACCGGGCGAACACCGTGCCTCTCTGCCTTCTCAGCGCACTGGTGGACGTCCGGGATATCTTGCACTACGATTGGGGCGGCGCTGCTCTGGCCACCCTGTACGGATACATGAGCTCGGCTTCTCGTGGCAGCGGCCAGCTGCTTGGAGGCTACTGGTGGGCTTGGGAGGTATACTTCTTCTCCGCTTTTTCATTCTTGTCTCGTACTTTCTGTACTCTGTACACTGCACACTGTGGTCTGCTCTATACTTGCTGTATACTGTACACACTGTACACTGCACACAATACACTGCACAAAACACGGCTCTGCCATTTCTACTTCATTCTGTATATCCTGCTTTATCTGATAGTCATACTGACATCTGTTTTGCAGTTGTGGGTTTACGCCTACTTCCCTAGGCTTGCACCCGTACCAGTTGCGGAGCCTCCTCCGGCTGTCCCGTTCTCGAGTCGTTTTGACGGGAGATGCACCCGGCGACCACGGGAGACGTTCGGCTTCTTCCGCCGATATTTCGACACCATCACCCCCACAAAGGTATGCTTTACTTTCAGTTCATTTAGCTTCACTTTCCCACTGCATATTTCAATAACAGTAGATAACAAACTGTCTGTCACTTTCAGATCACATGGCGGCCATGGTCTTCCTTGCCGTCGGCGATGCGGGGTCGGTTCCCTGGTGCTAGAGGGCCCGGTCTGTCGGGCTTGGTACCTGGGGGAGCGTTTTCTACGCCAGACCCGCGGGTTACCTGAGCAGATAGTCCCGGCTCACCCTCCTGCAGAGATGAGGGAGACCGAGGGGCTGACCCCTGAGCAGCTGGATGATTACTCCATCGGCTGGGAGGAGGCCGGCTTCCGAGGCACCGGCGACTATCAGGAGTACGTGTGGACGTACCTGATGCGCCCCTTGAGCGGCCGTCGAGCAGAGGGGGCCAAGCCTGTAGCATCGGCGGCTGGGGCCGGAGCAGGAGCAGGGGCTGGATCTTCGAGGAGGGCCCGGGTCCGTAGCAGGGGCGGAGTGCGGGGAGGACGAGGAGCGGGCTGGCCTGCCCTTCCTGCTGTGCTGACTTTCCAGGGGCAGGGTGGGGCGACCTATCAGATCCCCTTCGCCCCTCCACCGGCTGGGCATGAGTTCACTGACATCCCCGACCTTCCGCCGGTATGTATCATTGCACTTCGTACAGTTATTTCATTTCAGTTTACTTGATATTCCACAGAATACTAATGCATCTGATACCTTTGCAGGCTTCTTCTGAGTACACCCGTCAGTCGTTGGCGGTGAATGCCTCGATGATGGGGATGCTCCAGCGGACATTTGACCTCCTAGCCGTCTACAGCATACCGGTATGTCCTTCTGACACTGGCCTCAAACCATTCATACACTGCTTTGCATAATCCGACGCATGGCACAACATCTGATACACTGATCTCACAGCATCTGATACACTGCATACACTGCATTCTACACCGTACCCTACACTGATAAACTGCTCACGACATTCATACACTGTACTCACACACTGCATTCTGCACTGCTAAACTGCTCACGGCATTCATACACTGTACTCGACGTTGCATTCTGCACTGATAAACTGTCTACAGTATACTGATGCATTTCACTTTTGTGTACTTTTTTTCAGCCTCCTTTCCAGATTCCTATGGCAGGAGGTGCTCCAGCTAGACCTTCTGTCCCTGCCCAGGGGAGAGATAAGGAGGGTCGGATATTTCCCCGTACCAGGAGAGGGCGTACCCACGTCGGGAGCAGCTCGCGAGCTCCAGTCCCGGATGATGACGACGACGAGGAGTCTGAGGCGGAGGCAGAGGCGGAGTCAGAGTCATCAGAGGAGGAGACCGGAGGAGGCACTAGCTCGGGCTCTGACGACGATGCTGATGATACTCCTGGACCCTCGTCCAGGAAGAGGACTAGGACGGACTGACGGCCCCCCGGAGTGCTCGACATGGAGGCAGATTTTTGCTATCTTTTCTTCTTTGTACTTTTCCTTTTTTGTCGGTAGATAGATTACCTTGTACTGCCACAGGCAGATTTTGATTTCCAAAACCTTGTACTCGAAAAGATTATGAAATGAACAGATTTTTGCTTAAAAAGTGTTACATTTACATATCTCATGTATTGCATCGCATTCCATCATGTTACACCTCAATGTAAATGAAATTGATCGGTTATCTGAAAATTGAACACTTGCACTTGTAATAATCAGATAATTAAACAGCCAACAGCAAAATAACCCAAGCAACCCACTGCTTGATTCCGGATACACGGCCCTTACTCTGTTGGGGATTAATCTGCACACAGCCCATAACACAGCATTCGATTCATCCTGCACACGGCAATTCTCAAACAAACAGCCCAATCTGACAGGACGGACCTCAAAGATGGAACCGGTTGGAGTCGAAACATGCTCAAATGTAGAGAATGGCACAGTATTCAGAGCATAAATGATTTTTGAAATCGAATGAGGGTTTTTCAAACCGGGATATCGAGCCTACAACCGAACACAGCGGGGAGGACTCAAATATAAGTACACGACCTAAACACAACGAGACACGCTCGGAGAAGACCTAAAACACAGGT